TGTATTTTAACTTAAACTTAAAAGTCATACATCCATGTTCATCACATAAATCTTTTGCTGTCAAAGTACCCTTATCAGCCCAGTGTCTCATAACATGGCAAGTTTTTATTATAATTATGCTTGAGCCATAATGGTTCCGCAAACATATCAGAATCAACATTTAACTTTTTACAATAACTGTTTCATGCTTTTAAAACATCTTTCCAAAAGATTTTCAAACTTTTACATAATATTTCCTCACTGTGCCTTTGAGCCAATCCAAATTGCCTTAGTATACTAGCCACATAAAGAAACTGTGCATTGTCAAAATATTATCCCAGTTGATTAGTACGATAACAATGTCAAAGGTACATATACACTTTAATGGAGGGATCATGAGACCATAACAAGTCGGGAGAATTTCAATTGAAAAGTCAATCACAATGACGTCACGAGTCCACAAGCGGGACAGGGGTCAAACGACCATGTCACAAGCTCAATAACGGGTATGTCCACCATCGGCATTGAGAACAGCAGTGCATCGACGATGCATAGGGCCTATCAAACGTGCAAGGAAGGCTTGTGGGATGTCACGCCAGATTCTCTCAAGTTCTGTTGCAAGGTCAAGGACGTTATCTGGCGGATGAGGAAGACTGCGTAGACGTCGATCCATCTCGTCCCAAACATGCTCTATCGGGGAGAGATCCGGTGAATTTGCAGGCCAAGGCAGTAAGTCAACGTTGTGGTGTTGCAAGAAATCCATAGCAACCCTTGCCGTATGAGGGCGGGCATTGTCCTGTTGGAATGTTAACCCAGGGCCATGACGTTGCAGAAAAGGAATTTCCACAGGTCGAAGAATCTGATCCCTGTACCCCACACCAGTTAAGTTGCCCTGAACAATCACCAAAGGAGTTCTTTGGCGTGCTGTTATTCCACCCCAAATCATCACGGAATCACCACCAAAGCGATTCCTCTCCAAGACACAGGCCTGTGCATAACGTTCTCCCACGTGTCTATAGGCACGTTGACGTCCATCACTATGGGAACTGTTAAACCTGGACTCATCTGTAAAAACAACATTTCTCCACCAAAACAAGGGTCTGCGGGACATGATTTCGGCACCACATTCGGCGAGCTTGTCGATGACGTTGTGTCAGGATAGGCCGTATGGCAGGACGTCGTGGTCTGATCCCGTGATGACGTAAACGTTGTCGAACTGTGTTGGGGTGGATACGGCGAAGTCCTGGGATGACGGGCAGTCATCACTGCAGTCTGAAACCTGTGGCGAAGATTGGTCACCCTTATCCATATGTCCTGTCTTGGCGTTGTTACACGTGGACGTCCAGAACGTGGCCGATCGATGACGTCATTTGTGTTCTGGTAGCGTCTCACCAGTGCATAAATGGTGTTCCGGTGGCAGTGGAAATGTGCAGCCACTCGTCGTTGAGACATTCCCCCACGGACCATCCCAATGGCCTCATGACGTTGTGCAGACGTGAGCCTTGGCATGTTATGCGTTTCAATAGCCGTTTAATTTTTTGAACGATCGCAAGGGCAGGGGTTGAGCTTTCCAAAGTGACAGTATTGTGTGGCATTCATTTGCTCTGTTTCTCTTTCCCGGAATGCACGTGCAACAACGTATTGCACGTCTCAAGGACGAACCCACTGACGTCACGGAACGTGGCACGTGCCTGCATGTTGCATACATGTCACTAATCTCTGAGTTTAAATCATTATGTGTCTACACAGGTTTGATAAATTTAGATTTTCAATTTTTGTATGCACAGTTTCTTTATGTGCCTAGTATATATATATGCTTTTGGTTTACATTTCGGTAGTCTGTGGAAAAGGTACAGAGTACTTTCTTTAAGCTGTGTCTTGGTGTCACTACACGAACGTCAAGTAGTGTTACATTAGATGATGTAGGTAGACGTTACATTTGTATAGGCGAATCCTTTTGTCCTGAAAATTTAATAAATGACTCATGAAAACGGGTGAAAATGAAGTGTGCACCCCTCCTTTTCTCAAGAGTTGCAGAATCGGCATGAGAAGATTTCAAATTTCTCGTTTTTGATTGTGTATTATGGTTTCAAAACTATAACTGGCGATGAAAAATATATATAAGAATTTTTTTTTTCTATGAACTTATTGAGTGCATATTGTAAATATCGCTGTACATCGCATAAGTTGAAAGTACAGTATAAACACAGGGGCTGATACAGCTTTTTGAGAAAGGGGGCCTGCACCTTGTGGGGTGTGGGGTGCACACTTCATTTGCACGAGAGTGTCAATGGTCATTTAATAAACTTTCAGGGCTGAAGAGGGGGAGGGGGCATGTATGGGATGAAAAGGACCGACGTCTACGCCATGTACCAATGCTGCAAATTCTCTGGATCTCTGCCCTATTGAGCACATGTGGGATCTGTGCCCTGTAGAGCATGTATGGGATGAAAAGGACCGACGTCTACGCCGTGTACCTATACTGCAAATTCTCTTGATCTCTGCCCTATAGAGCATGTGTTGGATGAAATGGCGAGACGTCTACGCCGTGTACCAAATCTGCAAATTCCCTGGATCTCTGCCCTATAGAGCATGTGTGGGATGAAATGGAGAGAGGTCTACGCCGTGTACCAATGCTGCAAATTCTCTTGATCTCTGCCCTATAGAGCATGTGTTGGATGAAACGGATCGACGTCTACGCCGTGTACCAATGCTGCAAATTCTCTTGATCTCTGCCCTATAGAGCATGTGTTGGATGAAATGGAGAGACGTCTACGCCGTGTACCAATGCTGCAAATTCTCTGGATCTCTGCCCTATAGAGCATGTGTGGGATGAAAATGAGAATATGCAAGCCATTCCGCAAGCCTTCCATGCCCACTCTCCGTCAGTAATGTACTATTTACAGTGTGAATAAGTTTAGGTATGGGTAATGACCGTTTCCAATCGAGTTGAATCAAGTACTTTATAATGTCAGATTTAAACGCTGGCAGCTCGTGACTCAAGTACACATGCCATTCAAAAGCGCCAGTCATCTGACAAACAACGAGTGATGATACAGAGATGGAGACTCGCCGCCAGTCTTTGTATCATAGCTCTTCCCAGGCTCGCGGTTACTGGCACAACAAAGATGGACAGTCACTGTCAACACCATAATCTCCATTTCTACATATAACAGGAACACACGAATGAACAAAGAATAGTCTTTACTATTTGGGGAGTACATACAATGTCGGTACATTACTTGCCAGTGGTAATGACAATAGTTATATACATATGACAAGGAAACAGGTTTGGCAGAAACGAAGAGGAATATGAAGAACACTATTTACATGGTGTGTGACAAAAATTCACAAATATAATATACACCTTAAGCCATTATATTCATGATTGTCAAGTGTCATATCAAGGGCCACATCTCTGATGACACCGAGATATGTCAGGACCTTAGCTTCATCACTAGCCACGATATTCATGAATGTTACCCAGCTATCAAGTGTCGACCACATCTCTGATGGCACCAAGATATATCAGGACCTTAGAATCATCACTAGCCACGATATTCATGAATGTTACCCAGCTATCAAGTGTCATATCATGGACCACATCTGTGATGGCACCGAGATATGTCAGGACCTTAGAATCATCACTATCCACGATATTCATGAATGTTACCCAGCTATCAAGTGTCATATCATGGACCACATCTGTGATGGCACCGAGATATCACAGGACTTTAGCTTCATCACTAGCCACGATATTCATGAATGTTACCCAGCTATCAAGTGTCATATCATGGACCACATCTGTGATGGCACCGAGATATGTCAGAACCTTAGCTTCATCACTAACCACGATATTCATGAATGTTACCCAGCTGTCAAGTGTCATATCATGGACCACATCTGTGATGGCACCGAGATATGTCAGAACCTTAGCTTCATCACTAGCCACGATATTCATGAATGTTACCCAGCTATCAAGTGTCATATCATGGACCACATCTGTGATGGCACCGAGATATGTCAGAACCTTAGCTTCATCTATAACAGTGTCCTCGAGTCTGAGATAGGTGTCAAGGTTGAGGTTATCAAATAGAGATTATCTAAGCACTTTCTTCTGTGTTCGATTAGGACTTCACAGAAAGGCAATTACATAACAATTTCCTCACAGTCGCGTTCATAGCGCAGACACTGTGCCGATGTTAAGGTAATGTGCCGAGCTTTACCAGGGCAGAGACAGGAGGAGATGCAATCTCATACCATATACACAGATTCCAGAGACGATGTGGAGCATGTTGGATGTGAATATCACTTTATCATCCAAAACTGTGCTCCACAGGAGATATTGCTTGTGTGAGATCAGACGATATCTCATAGGAGATATCGTTTTGACAGTAGATTTTGCACAATGCTCTGACAATGCTATGATGTCATGAACTTGATGACGTCACATTTCTATGACATCGCTGCACTGCAAGTCTAATGGTAGTACTATGCTCAGAGATGTACATTTTTCATTGAAAGCTAATGAAGAGTCATTTTTATGATAAATAGAATCTCATCCTCGTGTCTTCTGATATCAAATATATCAACACTCGTTGATAAATGTAAAAATATTTGTTACTTTATCAACTCGTGGTGATATATTTGATACCAAAAGACACTCGGGTGAGATTCTCTATACACCTATACATATCGTGATCACTACACCTATGCATATCGTGAGTGTAACATACCTTATATTTGGGATTACAAGTTCTTGTAAAGTACAGATTCTTGTACTTTTGTTGGGTTGAGTCTCATCCGGGATTCAAACCCACACCCTCAGAAAGTGTAATCCCAAATATAATATATGTTACATTTGACCACTTTTTAAATGGCATTGTGTAATCACATATCTTGAGTGTTCCACTAATTGCCTGTAACGGCCTACAATCATGTACATGCATGCTCAACTTCCTTCTGTAGTCCAGACATTAATCCTTGAATAACTAAAGGATCGGGCTTACACCTTTCGCGAACACTTGGCGTAATCTTTGATTTTGAGTGATCGATTCATATAATGTTTATAGCTACATGGATTTTACTTTTTTCGCTCAATTGATTCTGTTTCCACTATCAAGACAGGTTTGTCTCTTGCACTGACGTGCTATGAAAGGTTTTGACGAAACGTGGAAAGGGTATATTAGTAGTCCAGCAGTGCGTCACGATAACATGTCTTTTCTTAGTATGTACACATGAAAGCGAGGAGCTTCTGGACAAACTGGCCTCCATACACAAGGTTATACAATACCGCCACAGTTCAGTCATACTTGCATTTCGTGGCATTAATTCCCAAGATTTATCGTAATTTTCATCATGTAGGCGACGATGAAAGACATGACAAAGCCTGTAGGATTAGGCCCTGCTTTTCTTTGGTCAATGAAATGTGACTCCCTGATTTCACAGTCATGTCCACGAACTGTCCTACCTTGAACATAGGACACAGTGACTCTGTAGAACTCACATCAAACGTACCCAACACTTCAGCTTTACTGAAGTCAACGAGTCCAAGTCTGCTGTTTTCCACGTCTAACACAATACCATACAGCAGAGTGGCTCTTGATCCAGGAGTACCGTCCAAAGCCCCTTCAAGGCAGCCTAAACGCTTGCCCTCAGTCCATATCACAGTGCAGTATTTCAACGTGTGCTTAGAACAGAGTTCAACACTGATTCCCCAGGAATGTGGCTGGTGACATGGACCACTTTCCCAGCAGACCTCTTTTTCGTCACACATTCCTATCTCCAGGAGTGGAGGAGCGAACACCTGTCTTTCTCGCAGATGCACCGTCGGTGCTGCTTCCCAGTAAAGTGGTGCTCTTTGTGAAGGGATGAATGGTTGCAATGGGAAGGCCTGGGTCATTCTTGGGGGCAAGGTGGGAGATGTGATGGAGATGTCTAAGTCGGACTGATCCACCAAACTTTCAGTGTTTGCCGTTATATGATGTAACTGTATTGGTGCGGCCTTATGGATGTCCAGCGTTTGGTTGTTGTTGATGGGATGGGGTACTACCATCTTGTCAAATACCAACAAGGGGCCTGTAAACAGACAAAAACGTACTTGATGTAAGAACGCTGAAAGAGTATGGAGCGAGTTGCGTTTACGCCTCTTTTAGCAATATTCCAGCAATATCTCTTCGGGGAACATCAGAAATGGGCTTCATACACTGTGCCCATGTTGGGAATCGAACCCGGGTTTTCGGCGCTACTAGCGTACGCTTTAACCACTTGGCTGACCCGCCTTCCCCTAAGAAGGATGTACAGTTAACGCGTATCCAAACGTATATAATGATGGTTCATTACAAAGACGAATTCTCTTATTTTTTTGAACTCAGAAAGTAGGGATTAACATATTAATAGATTCATTAAAACAAACTGATGCCCTGGCACATCAGAAATGTGGAAAAATCGAACCCGGATATAGACGAGCGAACATTTTAACCTTTAGGCTACTCCCTGGACCATGTATACTCATGCCAATAATGGTTGTCACCCCCTCCCACCCAACCCCACATTTACACCGTCAAATAAAAAAAATTGAAGGGGGTGACAGCCATTATTGGCATAAGTAAATAATTACATCCTATTTTGATTCAGGTTTGACGACAAAATGTGGGACCTGACGGACTAGTTTCACCGAAGATTCACACAAGGGTTATCTAGACCTGTAGAGAAATCGTTTGATACGTACACATGAGGATTCTGTCTGTGTTCCCATCTGCATCGTGCAACCAGCACACTGGGTCTGTTATAGCTGAAACGTTAATAGGCTACATTGAAATCTAACTGATACATGTGTAGCGGGTTAAACCAGGCCCCGATTTCTCGAAACAAACTTCAGTTTTTACTCAAATTTCAAACTGAGTTGGACAATTTGAAACAGTTGAATTTTAACTCAACTGCATTTTTAAAATAAAAAACCCCAAACAACTTAAGTAATTTATCTACCAAACTCAAATTGTCTACTATGTTTGGGTTCGATATCGATTTCATTTCATTCTGGGAAATACATTTCCCTGCGTTTTCTCAAATTTGAGTCAAAACTCTAACTTACGTCAAAACTCAGACTTCAGTTTGTTTCGAGAAATCAGGTTCTGGTTCACTGACAGCATACTCAGTTACTAATTATTAAGCTGGGCCCCGATCCACAAAGTGCTCATAGCGCTACGGACCGCCTCCGTGGTGTAGTGGTTAGAGCGTCCGCCCGGAGACCGGAAGGTCGCGGTTTCGATCCCCGACCGCGTCATACCAAAAGACGTTAAAATATGGTACTTGTTGGTCCCTGCCTGGCGCTCGGCATTAATGGGTACAACAAGGACTGGTCGGTTCGGAGTCAGTATAATGTGTCTGAGTGCGGTATTCATGCTTCACTGCGGCATGGTATCTCACTGGGCTAGCACTATAAAACCAGCTTAAGTCTGGGCTAGTACAAGCATACACACGCATGCACGTCGTCATATGAGCGAAATATTTTCAAGCACGAGGTAAAACCCAATTTCACCTCACCTCACCTCATAGCGCTACGACATTCGTAAGCCTATGGTAAACAGTGCAGATATGACAGGTCGTAATGTTACGAATGCTTCATGGAACGGGACCCTGGACACGTTATCTAATGTCACTGAGACCTATGTTGTTGAGACAAGCCAGGAATGACAATGTTATTCATGCTAGTGGTTCACATTATCTTATCCAGTGAAATATCCTTGTCTTTCAACCTTAATGTTTAAATGGAATCCCATATTTCGTGGGCTCATGGAGCATGGCTTGACGCTGACTGTGAACCATTGAACCATTTAAACCAAGTTTTCACATAAACCATTGAAACACAATTTTGATACGATCAATGTAAACGATAATGAATGTTCCTTCCTGTCAGCAACCGACCTCTTGGGCTTCGCGAAAGTTGTAAACGCCAAAGATTTTCATCATTTTGGACTTTCTCCCTACATATAAATAATAAGAACTAAAATACTGTTGAGCGACGTTTCCCAGAGGCATCTGACATCATGCAGCTCTACTAATAACGATAACCTATCCTGAAAACTAATTACAAACAATATGCGTGGATGATCTAATATCTAACAAATTGACCGAGTTCATGAGTATTTAGGGTTATGGGAAAAGGGGGATAGGTGTACCGTGCCTTGAGTGAGAGAGTTTAGTTTTACGCGGCCTTTAGCAATATTCCAGCAATATCATGGCGGGGGATAAAAATGGGCTCGACACATCGTACCCATGTGAGGAATCAACACTGAAACTTTCGTTTTGCATGCTCTGTAACCAAACGTAAACATGCGTTTCATCTCAATATGCAACTGTTCTTAATGGTTTCATCTCCTGTCAACACGCTATATTGTTCAACGACATAATAGAAGTGTTGTTCATACCTTTCTCCATTTCTTTCAGCTTCAGCTTATATTCCTGCAAGGAGAAGAAAGACACGCATGAAAAGGAAAATAGAGTCCCAGTTATATTCAGATCTACACAGTCAAGATACAATCAATACATATGCATTATGTGGTCATTAGAACACACTGATGAGGAACAGAGAGAGATCGATTGGCAGTAACTTAATATTCAAACTGCTCCAGCTATGGGTATTTACATTTCACAACTTGTGAGGAACAATGGAGCATGAGCTTGCTCAGAGGTTTTTCGATCAGGGTTGCAACATTCAAGGTTTTGTGTTGATTGTAACTCAGGTAATCTGATTGATTGAATATGAGATGAGATAACATCATTATAGTATATTATGTCGTGTCGTGTCGTGTCGTGTCGTTCTCATTGTCGTGTCGTGTCCTGTCGTGTCGTTGTCATTGTCGTGTCGTGTCGTATCGTTGTCGAGTCGTGTCCTGGCATGCCGTATCGTGTCCTGACGTGTCGTGTCGTGTCCTGGCGTGTAGTGTCGTATTGGTTGAATTGTTACTTCAACGACTTCACAAAACGTTATGTTAACTGTCTATCACTTCGCCAAGTTCGAAAAACATAGCGTCAGCAGAAAGTGAAGCCAATAAATGTATAATATTACATTACGTTTCATCAGTGTTTTGCTGTTTTGGTACCAGGAGTTCATGTCCTACATGTTAACATAATCAACGTAATAACACTCTGTGTGTGTGTGTGTGTGTGTGTGTGTGTGTGTGTGTGTGTGTGTGTGTGTGTGTGTGTGTTTGTGTGTGTGTTTGGTTTAACCATATGCGAAGCCCATTTCTGGTGTCCCCCGTCGTGATATCCCTGGAATATTGCTAAAAGTGGCATAGAACTGAACTCATTCACTCACATTATTATACGTCTGAAGCCCGACTAACCAGAGACTACAACCTGGAACAGTCTGAAATGTCCTTGAATGTCTGTTACGATTTTCTTTGCTTGTTGTTTAAAGCCGCAGTAAGATATATTCCATATATAACGGCGGTCTGTAAATAATCAGGACTAATCCATGACTATCGACCTAGGCAATTGGGATACGATGACATCTAAGTCAGCGAACCCAGCGATCACGTTAGTTGTTTACCTGAATGAGATAGACGAAGAGGACGTCCTTTGATGACATCTGTGTTCTTAGTGTGTCTTCGGTGTCCCGAAGCAGTGCTATTCGTCTTTCATTCTCTTCTATTTTACTTTGTTTTCCATTGTTTTCCTTTTGTAAAACATAAAGGGTACATATATACAAAACAAACGTAGTATGAAGTATTAACATTTCCAAATAATATACAGAGGATATTATATGAGTGCCCATGTCATACTATGTTTACGACACGAGTGCCTAAATGTTGGTATTTCCCGAGCGAGAGCTCATATTATTACCCATTTGTTGAACCATAACCAGTGTCATATATATCATTTATTACCCACGTGGTCAACGTATGGGTAGTTGCATATTAATCTCGTACGTCACACGAGTGACGTATCGCGTTGACCTGTGTCGTAACGACTTGACCTGAAATTCTAACGATTTGATTGGATAACCGATGACCTCTCAATTAGGTCACATTCTGACGTAACTATTTTTTCATTCATAACAAACACGCGAATTCATTCATTCTACAACTGAAATGCATTGTGGGAATGTAAACATTGCGAACGTTGCCGTGTCGCTGTTTAATTGTGAGTCGAACTGAGACATTATATCTCTCGAAAAACATAAACGCAATGTTTCCACCAGTGATGTTAGCCGAATGAAGCAACTGGAAACCAAGAAACGAGGTGCAACGGAGAAGTTTACTGTAGGAGGCTGTACGAGGCGATGACAACTGACATGCATCGTGACGTCGGTTACCATGGCAGTGACGCCATTAGTGTGACGTCATGCAAATATTGTACTACAGTACAAAACTCTTCCGCAACCTCTTTATGAAACCGGTTTCAGTTTGAAACAAAAAACATAACAAAAATACGCTATTTTGTCAATTTAAATGCATGTAAGACGCGTGGAAGGGCACTCGTTTCGTATAATTCGTATGTAATCAGACCTTGTGTAGTATTCTCTATATGTGTATCACTTTTGCCAAGCATCCATTGTTTCTGTATTTCGTCGTCTGTGACGTCATTTAACAATTGAACGTGACGTCAATAAAGAGGGCCGTCACACTTGCTTACCATGTTTCAGTGCACAAATGTTCGTGAATGAAATGGATAATAAAGAATGTATTACAGTCGAGCAAATGTGTCATATGACGAAACTCTTGCAAAATTAAGTATTAATTGTGTATTAAAATTTCACACTCGTTTCGTATAAGTCGTATGGCACAATTGCTCGTGTATTATCTCTATGTATTGACAGACAGATTCTAGTTCTTTTGGATATCGTGTCCCATTTGGGATTCGAACCCACACCCTCAGAGTGAGACTACTTTACCGAGAAAGAGAAATATATAATATCTTGTTTGAGGCTGTCAGGCAGTGCATTTTCAACCTTTACTTGAAGAGGGCTCTTACTGACTAATTCACAGATTAAGTTACATAAGAGATATTGGTCAAAATGTTTATTATAAATATATGACTTGTTCTTTTCCATGTGATGTTTGCCCAGACGTAAACGGTGTAAAAGTTGCTGATATTCCTGATAATGCCAAGTCCTGATACAGCTTAATGCATGATATTTGTTCTGTGGCAGAAGAGGATACTTATAAATGGAAAATTGTACAAGAATCAGAGTTAGAAAATAAATACAAACAATTACAGTTTACAGTTTACAGTCTTCACTCAGTTTTGCCTTGCAATTTAGATCTGAACAAGTTAAATGTTAAAGATAGTAAACTGTGTGAACACTGGCAATGTTGAAGATAGTAAACTTGGTGAACACTGGCAATGTTAAAGATAGTAAACTGTGTGAACACTGTGGCAATGTTAAAGATAGTAAACTGTGTGAACGCTGTGGCAATGTTAAAGATAGTAAACTGTGTGAACACTGTGGCAATGTTGAAGATAGTAAACTGGGTGAACACTGTGGCAATGTTAAAGATAGTAAACTGTGTGAACACTGTGGCAATGTTAACACTGTGGCAATGTTAAAGATAGTAAACTGGGTGAACACTGTGGCAATGTTAAAGATAGTAAACTGGGTGAACACTGTGGCAATGTTAAAGATAGTAAACTGTGTGAACACTGTGGCAATGTTAAAGATAGTAAACTGGGTGAACACTGTGGCAATGTTAAAGATAGTAAACTGGGTGAACACTGTGGCAATGTTAAAGATAGTAAACTGTGTGAACACTGTGGCAATGTTAAAGATAGTAAACTGGGTAAACACTGTGTCAATGTTAAAGATAGTAAACTGTGTGAACACTGTGGCAATGTTAAAGATAGTAAACTGTGTGAACACTGTGGCAATGTTAAAGATAGTAAACTGTGTGAACACTGTGGCAATGTTAAAGATAGTAAACTGGGTGAACACTGTGGCAATGTTAAAGATAGTAAACTGTGTGAACACTGTGGCAATGTTAAAGATAGTAAACTGGGTGAACACTGTGGCAATGTTAAAGATAGTAAACTGGGTAAACACTGTGGCAATGTTAAAGATAGTAAACTGGGTGAACACTGTGGCAATGTTAAAGATAGTAAACTGTGTGAACACTGTGGCAATGTTAAAGATAGTAAACTGGGTGAACACTGTGGCAATGTTAAAGACAGTAAACTGTGTGAACACTGTGGCAATGTTAAAGACAGTAAACTGGGTGAACACTGTGGCAATGTTAAAGATAGTAAACTGTGTGAACACTGTGGCAATGTTAAAGATAGTAAAATGTGTGAACACTGTGGCAATGTTAAAGATAGTAAACTGGGTGAACACTGTGGCAATGTTAAAGATAGTAAACTGGGTGAACACTGTGGCAATGTTAAAGATAGTAAACTGGGTAAACACTGTGGCAATGTTAAAGATAGTAAACTGTGTGAACACTGTGGCAATGTTAAAGATAGTAAACTGGGTAAACACTGTGTCAATGTTAAAGATAGTAAACTGTGTGAACACTGTGGCAATGTTAAAGATAGTAAACTGGGTAAACACTGTGGCAATGTTAAAGATAGTAAACTGGGTGAACACTGTGGCAATGTTAAAGATAGTAAACTGTGTGAACAATGTGGCAATGTTAAAGATAGTAAACTGTGTGAACAATGTGGCAATGTTAAAGATAGTAAACTGGGTGAACACTGTGGCAATGTTAAAGATAGTAAACTGTGTGAACACTGTGGCAATGTTAAAGATAGTAAACTGGGTGAACACTGTGGCAATGTTAAAGATAGTAAACTGTGTGAACAATGTGGCAATGTTAAAGATAGTAAACTGTGTGAACACTGTGGCAATATTAAAGATAGTTAACTGGGTTAACACTGTGGCAATGTTAAAGATAGTAAACTGGGTGAACACAGTGGCAATATTGACACTATCAGACATTATATGGTTTATTGCTCTCATGTTTTGCCAGTCTGGATTCCTACTTTAAATGGTCAAAAGCAAATATTCAAGATAAGGTATATCCATATTACAGAAATGTTGTATTATATGGCCTTAATGGAGACTCTGAAGACTGTAAATTATTTAATTATGTTAACGATGTTTGCTAAATTTATAGTGCATTGCAGTAGTCACTGAAAGTGATTGTAATTTTGACACTTTCATATAAGATCTAAAATAACATTATAAATACTGAAAAAGTGAAAAAGTAAAATCTCTATGTGCATAGTCTTTAACACTTATGACAACTGTATTACTAATTATGACCTATCAGTTTTAACCCCAACATCCTGGTAAGTCCATTCACGTGATACTGTACAGGGAATGTAAAATCGTGGAATTTTATTGCTAATAAATGATGCTAAAATAGAAAAAGTTATATTTCATAACAGAAAAATGGCTTCATAAGAAAGCTATGCAATATAATTCTGTGATGTTTCTTGTGCAGACTTCAGACAGCCCACTCACTAGGGACATTTTAAACAATACATCTCACACGTACCTCCTGTAAACGTGCAATTTCTTCTTCAAATCCTTTGCTTTGTCTCATCCGATATTTGGACGTTTCTAACTTGCTTTCATACTGGAGATCCAAACAACCTTATTAACAGAAATGAAATGTTGTGTTCATGTTAAAATGCCAACACTGTTCGTGTTGTTTCTGCAGCCTAACAAACTAACGGTATCCGAAAGTCAGTAAGTTTGTTTCCCAAACCGTAACTCAAACATCAGCCTTCGACAATATCAACAGTGAAAACTTCAGAACTAATGGTCTAAATACGTTTTTACCAGTGTATTGAACAACAGTGATAAAGTCATGTGATATATTTTCATACTTCCTTTTTAAAAGGGGCGGTGGGGTAGCCTAGTGGCTAAGGCGTTCGCCCGTCACACCGAAGACCCGTGTTCGATTCTCCACATGGGTAAATATGTGAAGCCCATTTGTGGTGTCCCCAGCTGTGATATTGCTGGAATATTGCTAAAAGCGGCGTAAAACTAAAAGCCATTCTTCTTTTTAAATTTATTGCTGTTTGGACATATATTTTCAGGAAATGTGGACTATTACCGAAATGATTTAATGTTAAGAAGTGAAGACTAAGAAATGGTTAAGTACCTAATTCAGCTGAGGTTTTGTCCAGGTGTTCTTTTATAAAGTTTTGTTCTTTATCTAGAGCGACACAAAAGGTTTTATATGCATCCTGTCCCTTCTTCTTCAGTATATCTAGCAGGGCGTCACACCGTTCCCACCTGGGAGCCTTAGATAAGACAGTGTCACGATCTGCTTCCGAGAAGACGCCATCTTGATACAAGTAGTCCAGCACCTTCTCAGGCTCTAGCTTGTTCTTGAGGAATATCCAGTTTTTACGAAGTATGACCTGGTGGTCCAGTGTTTCGGTCTGGTTTTCAAATTCCACGTTTTCCATCAGAACACTTTCCCATTTGACGAAGAAATCCTTTGTAAATACAAAAAAAACATATATTGGATCTACACTTCAAACGGAACATATGTGATGTTTGAGATAACACTTCCTTCGAAAAGTAGTCAGGCGATAAGGTGCCTGACTCTGAGAGTGTGGGTTCGAATCCCGAATGGGACTGACAAGTCAGAAGTACTAGAATCCCAAATATAGCTATTACCGTTATGTGTCGCCTATGACGACACTCAGCTTTCATTGTACACCTGAAGAGCCGTTGAACGGCGAGGGATCTTGTGCATATATAAAGGAGACCCGGGTTCGATTCCCCACATGGGTACAATGTGTGAAGCCTATTTCTAAAAGCGGCGTAAAACCCAACTCAATCACTCACTACTGACGGTGTGTTTGCTTTACGTCGCACTCAGCAATATTCCAGCTCTATCACCTGGGCCAGATCGTGGCTGCGAGCTAATATCAACACCGTCGTGCTTAACAGGCAATCACCAAATCACTAAACTTGATCACAGATATTGATCACCGATCAATTAGGTTGCAAGCTAAGACCCAAATGTTAGGAGCCTGGTAAAATTCACACACGGCATATTGCGGCATGCGTAGATGCAGGTTTAGTTTTTTAGTACCGTTTCATTCACTATCTTCCCAAAACAATACATGGTATTGAGCCAGTCCAAATGTTCGTGCGTCAAGAAATCGACCCCCTCTAACCCCACTCTCCCCTCCACCTAGACCCTCCTTGTGGAAACCATACTGACTCTTTTGTATATCCCTCTTTATTATAAATTCATAATGTATAAATCACAGAGCGGCAATCTGGGGGTTAATTTACATTGTACCCTTCTATGATTGAGTCTAGTTTTACACCGCACTCAGCAATATTCCAGCTATAAGGCGGCGGTCTGTAGATAATCGAGTCTGGACCAGACAATCCAGTGATCAACAGGTTAAGCATCGATCTGCGCAATTGGGAACCGATGACATGTGTCAGCCAAGTCAACGAGCCTGACCACCCGATCCCGTTAGTCGCCTCTTTCGACAAGCATGGGTTACTGAAGACCAATATTATAACCCGGACCTTCACGGATAGTGCCCTTCTGTGAAGTGGTATACAATATCAATGTTTGAATTCGATATAATGATAACAATAAGACATGGTCCTCAATATCCCCCACCAGTGTGCTGTTCTATTTGGTTCCTGTTTGTTTTTAACTCAACCACGACATTCATGTCCTGAAAACACATACCACATTTGGTTTCCCTATCGATAACGGTTTTTGAGAAAATCTGTCCCCATCATCTCGGACGGACGGAGCTCAAACCTATATCCCCCTCCCACTTCGTGGCAGGGGTTAATAATAATAATCAGAATAGTTATATAAATATATAACACAGCTGGATTTGGGGGGTGGGGGTTGGGGTGTATGCACTGACAATTTTGAAGTGACTTGGATTGTTAGGCTATATAAAATAGTATCCTCTGGATGCTATTTACAATGGTAAACAATGAACAAGACAAGGCTAAGGGTCTGCATGGAGTGTTGATTTGATTGTATGCTTCCCATCCCTCCTGTTGAAACCGATCTAGTTGTAAGTCGGTTTACGTTAATTGAATGATGGATGAGTGTGTTTTCGCACGTACGTACGTACGTGCGTGCGTACGCGCGCGCGCATGTGTGAGTGCTTAGATGCTAGTAATCAAAGGGGAAACGTGGGATTCGAATGCACAGTCATTGATTTCTGCATCTGCGCAGCGACGTGCGGCGTCTATAGACGAATGAGCAACCGTCTCCACAAAAGAGACTTTTGTGTTCACTGTACATGCAGGTCACACAGGCCCCGGTTGTGAGCTGTGTTTGTTTGTCTGCACGCATGGATGGATTCAGCACACCTCTGAAGCTGGGGGTAGCCAGCTACTTACATCTTGTTTGCATGACTGCACCTGACAGAACCTGTTCTGTTGCTATGCCAACCACTGGAGATACTCTTATTCGCTAGACCAGGTTGAATGACTTCATTTTATGATAAAGAGGAACAACACAATATGACGATGAACGTTAATTGCTGTTGGGATGTTTAAATGGGTTAATGTGCATGTATACGCTAACATTACTTTCAGGTAACAGCGTTATAAAAACTTTGTCAGACCTGGCATATCTTCCGGGTACAGATCTATATTTAGCATTTCGATTTTTACATGACAAGGCATTATTTTGAACGGGGTAACAGCGCTGTGTACATTTCTGTTGATTTACTGAACATTTTCTAATAGAATTACTTGAACCATCTAATTTAGCTCTATATGCGATATGTAAGCTACACCTGTGTCATCAAATTGACCATGAGAAAGAAAGTTGCATCGAATTCTCGCTTGTGCTTGCCTACTTCCAGATGACCTTGACATTTGGAAATAAATATAAACTGGTGTAGACCAGTACCAGTCATCCATATCTGAAGATGCATGGCGCTAAGGTCATGTTGTACTACAACTGGCAACCTCGAGCTCATTGTGGGATGTCGCGTCCTCATTTCCGATACAAATTGTTATTCTGGGTATACCTTTAAGAAGGATACCTGTGCTCACCATGTATAATGTGTAACATCTGATGTAATTAAACACAAATGGTTATGTCAAATCTGATTAAACAGACACAGCTTGTTACAGTCTCAATCAAACGTGAGTGTCGACATGTCACCTCATGGAAAAGAGATGGTGTAGTTTCGTCAGCACATATTGTCAGGTAAAGAATCAACGCTAAGAAGGAATACTTACAGGTGTGGAGACACTTAAGCCATCACGTACATTGCGCTCTCAACTACCTCGAAGCTGTTTATCCTGGACTCATATTATGACGCGCCTCGTGTCAAGCTTGTAGCCTGTATCTATTCATAGCTGGGAATACACACATGTACGATGACAACACGGCCTGCCTCTGGCTAAGTTTAGGTATGCTTCATCTGATACAATACAACCAGATGATCCAGTTTTCACTGCTGTCCGGGTTAAAAATTGTTTTCATTGGCTGTGGTAATTCGTCACGTCATGCTACTGATATGCGGAAGTTAGCTCGGATTATCACAAGGTTTTCTATGTTTTTAAACATTTTGTTTGTTGTTGTTTTGGTGAAAATAACTAAATATGAAATTGATTCACCAGTGTTTATATTTTTGAAAGTGTTAACTACTGTCAATGTTCCCTATTAAACATACTGTGTTGCATCGTTGACGTTTCAGATGTAGCTACTCTGTAATCATCTGCCACTTTGAATCTCTAAATGTGAAATGACATTCTAACTTTTGTATAAATGTCTTTGTATTAAAAACAAGGAAACGAGTTATCGCTCCGTTTTGATTTTCTAAGTCTGTGTCATCATTCCTGACAGTATATATCGTTGTCTTTAATGTCAAGAAAACACATAATAAAGGAGAGACGCTGTGCTGAAAACAGTGTTATACTAATGATGACTTAATCTATGGACTTGTTAGTTCCACATGGAGCCGAGTCGAGAATTACTTCATCAGTTTCATCAGAAGTGTCACTTCTGTGCCGACTGACTGTAGGTAATAGAAAACAGCGATTATCTACAGAAGAATTTGTCCATATCATCATTGGGGCATTAAAACGTTAATAGCCATTATAGATAGACTAGAAGACTTTTGAATTAGAGTATGCCCCTTGAATATTCATCGATAATGTTCGTCTGCAACCAGTCTAAGCAAACTTAGGCTCAGTATTATTCGTTACACTGCTATACTGAGTCTAAAGGCGGCCGTCCATACAAGAAGCGCGCAAGCAGTGCTGCGCGTCACGTCATTTCGGAAAAAAATCGCCACAGTTATTTCAAGTTCATGCCACTCCATTCAAGCAGCGCGTCCGCGTCAAAAGTTTTGAATCGCAAAAAAAGCGTTTGCTGCTTTGCGTTTGCTGCTTGACGCGCTGACGCGCTGGGGAATCTCCCTCTTCCGCTTGTCTGGGATATACACGTGCTTTGGTCAAAATTTTGTTATTTCAGACGTATACGATGCCAAGAACACAAATAAATGAGGAATTATTTATCACTGAGGTACAGAAACATCCCTGTCCCTATGATATTGACAGCAGACATTATAAAGATGCAGAAATGTCAAATAATGCATGGACAGCAATCAGCCAAGCATGCGAGTCAACAGGTAATGTCATGTTTTATTGACAACAATTGAAACAAACTACATCAAAATTTTGAACTCGTGAACATTTTCAAAAGCAGGCACCCTTTTATAATTGTCAATATATGACTGGAGTTTTTTGTACATTAGCAGACACCTACAAAAATGCACTTGTGTACTCCTTTAAGTTGTACGTCTTCGAACGGTTGTGCATTGCCAGGGAATCTCTCCGGAAGGTGAACAGAAATACCTGCAAAAGTTGTCAAGCGTTTGCATGGCGTCTGTTCCAGGGTGATTACCAATTCCACCAACATCTACCAACGCTTGAGTTCTACACTGTGCTTGCCCCTCATCAGATAATGTTTGGGGTGTGTCTCGCAGTACAAACGTATGCAGGACACATTATGCCAGTGTTATCTTTTTGACACTCTCAACCTTCAGGTTGTTCTTTCTGTGGAATATGCGCCATCTGTTTGCAAGAATGCCAAACGCATTTGGCTCTAGAAAGACGATAGTTGAAAATGCGTTTGCTCTCCGGTAGTTCTTTGCCTGGATACGGTCTCATGATGTGTCTTTTGAGCGGAAAGGCTTCATCTGCAACAAAGACGTAAGGCATAGGCCCATGATCGGTGTCTCCAGGTACAACTGAATCTTTTGGTATGCTCAGTGTATTCCCTTGAAGAGTTTTCCAAGCGCTGAAAATGCAAGAATACAACCATCACTGTTGCTACCGTAGGCCCCTACGTCAATGATCAGGAATATATAACCTGCATCCTTCTTCTGAAACACACTAACAAAAGAAATGTAATATGACCAAGTCAACAAAATCTTAATTTCAGTTCAATTTTTGTATGGATAGACGCGGTAACGCGCTGCTCGAAAAGAGGCACAAAATAAACGCGCCGACGCGCTGCTTAGCACAGCGCTGCTTGCGCGCTTCCTGTATGGACAGCCGCCTTAACAAACCCTTGTAAAAGGTCGCGTCAGCTAACCTTTGTGCGATCTATATGACCGTCCAATCAAACGCGAGACGGCCGAACGGATTTAACCAATCAGACAACGACAACTTGTTAGGGTTCGGCGGGACTTACAAAACGGTTTTTGGATTTTCTCATCCCCCCGTCGATGACACTGATCTATCAACAAACGGAAACCCGCATAAAACACAGATATTTGACCTGCAGTATATACGCTTATGGGCTTTTAATGACATGGTTACTATTAGCTTACATTTCCGCAAGATGGCATCCCGTAATATTGACAAGAACGCTATATTCAGCGACTGTTCACTCATTCCGTCATCCATGTGTATCACTCGGAAGCGATCGTGTAGAAAATAGCATTCGGAATCGTTCGAGTTTTTGAGGTAAAGGTTCAATCGGTATGTGCGAATGTTAACTTTCGCGATTTGGTAAGCTGTGTTCTGATTGGTCAGTCCAAAAGGTTAGCTGATGCGACCACAGGGGCTTGTAACGCTAAAAACTGCCATCAAGGTATATACTGTCACTGACGGGGTCTTAGTACTATATCAAAGGATAGTACTAAGACCCCGTCAGTGACTGTATATACTTTGAAGGCAGTTTTTAGCGTTACATCCCTGTGGTCTCTGCCTCACAGTCCCTGAACCATATTATTTTCCTACCACATAGCGCTTAATGTAATGCAGAAACTCTTAATGAATTTGATATTAGGTATTGATACTCAGGTTCTAATTCTCCGACCTCACTTGAGCTCCATTTTCAACTTGCCTGTGGTGTTTTGTTTATGTCACAGTTATATATTTTTCAAAGTCTAATCATTAATCCATACACAAAGAACTTTTTAAGCACACCCTGACATGTCTCTCGATTGAATGCGCTCCTATCTTAACCATTTGGAGCATATCTGGGACATGATTGGTCGTTTTGTGCAACAAAGAGTTCCCCCTCTACAGAACCTGGCCCAATTGGAAGCTGCTTTACACGAGGCATGGCGTAGACTGCCCCTTCAGAGGATCAGGAGGCTGACAGGGGGTATGAGGAGGAGAGTGCTGGCTGTCATACAGTCGCATGGAGGTTACACTGGGTATTGACCTTGGATCGTAAGACACGCATGGAGGTTACACTGGGTATTGACCTTGAATCGTAAGACACGCAAAATGACATTTTGAATGTTCACATTTACCAATAAATTCAAAATTAAACATTCCAGGGCCATACTTGCACAGACATTTTTTTGTATGGATATCACTGTTTTGTTTTTTTAAATGAGCAATTATCATCATTAAATCAACATCAAGGGGGGCTTAATTAAGTTCTTTGTGCATATATTCTTGCGTCCACCGCTTGATATCTGTTCATCGAAAGGTTTGGACGGCGATTCTGGTCAAGGTTATCCCAAAGATGTCTGGTAACCCGTGAAGATCCAGATTAGAATTGGTCTTCAGTATCCCATGGTTGTCGTAAGAGGCGACTAACGGGATCGGGTCGTCAGGCCCGCTGACTTGGTTGACACATGTCATTATTTTATGTTTTACAAATTAAGATGACAATGCAGCAGAGATGATTCGGGTGATCCACAGTCAGCCTGGTTAGGCTCATCATCAGCTCGGGGCCCTTGCCCCCTCTACATGCAGCCCAGACAGCGAATGGGACTTCTCCCAGGAAACGCTGCCTAGTCGAACCCACTGAGAACTTTCCTGAGAATATGTAGACTCCCCAACACTGCAGCCTTCTGCATTACCCAGAGTGTCTGAAGGGCTGTACTCCCGGTGGAGAACCCGGGCACTCTCCTGATCTGCGCCAAGAGATTAGGGGATACCAAACCAAGGGCACCGAGGACAACGGGGAGTCTGACGACAGTGTACTTGGGATGCAAGCGAGACATTTCAAAGGCGGGGTCCGCATATTTAGCATGCTTTTCCTGAATCTTGCCAATCACATTGCTGTCAAAAGGGACAGAAAATTCAATGATATAAATGAATTCATTGGCTTTATCAAAATGGACAAGATCAGGTTTGTTGGCAGGAATTCTTCTCAGGCTGCATATGGGCATATTCCACAAAGGCTTGAAAGCATCATTTTCCATGACGCCATGGACATGTTCAGGGTCGTACCGTGGATGGACCTCCGAGTCAAAGCTACAAGCATGGCGGAGACGGTAGTAAAAGCAACGAGCCATGGCATCATGTCGTTTAAGATATGCTGTTTGTGCCAAAGAAGGGCATCCACTGACAAAATGTTGGACAGTCTCTGTAAATTCATTGCACAGTCAGCATTTCATGTTAATATTTTCTTTAAGAATCACATTTAGGCGATTACAAGAGGGAATTGACTGGTCCTGAGCAGCAAAAAGGAAGCCCTCAGTTTCACATTTGAGACCAGCCGACTTCATCCAGGCAAAGGATTCGATGGGATTGCTACTCTGTTCCACACACGGCATATATACACGATGCAGTGGTATCAAAGAAAGCTTCTCCACAAATGATCGACTCTGGGCAGACTTGGCGAAGGACTTTACCTGGTTTACTCCCATTGCTGTACCGTCCGGCAGTACATTGCCATCAACAAAATCAACCTCAGATATCAGATTCTGTCCAACAACCTTGGCAGCTTAAAATAGCTGTGGAATTCCTTGCTTTCATCATGAGTCTTGACATGCATCACCAGCGGATCATCCGATAAATAAATATGTGCAAAAGTACACAATACAATTCTATCATGAAGAGCCTTCACATTAATTAAACCCCGACCTCCCGAACTGATTGGCATATATAAACGATTAAGAGAGGAACGAGGGTGGTGAGCTCTGTTATCAGACATGATCCTTCTGGTCAGGCGGTCAAGACTGAATGTCTTTAGCATTTATCTCTGAGCTCCAGATTTTCTTTAAGCGAGATTTATACTCGGCCCGAAGTCTGTCTTGAATCTGGGCATTCTAGAGCTTGTCTCGAACTTGCATTCCAAGATAGGTGTAGGCCTGATCTTCTACAAGATGCTCAATAACTCCTCCCCCCTGTAACTTGACCGATCCATCATTAACTACCTTGCCACGTTTCAAATGAAGAATATTACATTTGTCGAGTCCAAATATCATGCCAATATCATTAGAAAAGGACTCGACAAGGAGAACACTTGTTCTTTCAAATTGGAATCTCCTTTGGCAAGGAGCTTAATGTCATCCATGTAAAGGAGATGAGTAAGCGGTGTTGGGGATCTGTGCTGAGGAGGTCCGGGATGGTAACCCTCCTCTTTATTGAGCCGAAAGCTCAAAGGATTCAGAGATAAACAAAAAAAGCAAAGGACTGATTATTATTATTATTTTAGGATATTAATATAGCGCACATATCCACGCAACCAATACATGCTCAATACGCTGGAGTGTCCCCTTGAACAACGGATCTCTGTTTTCTGGCATTGTATTAAGCAGTTTTCAAGTTGGGGAATCAGCTCGCTTGGCAAGAGGTATGACCATACCAACCAACACGAGACCTGAGTGAATAAACGAACAGTTTATTACACACAGCCTCTGAATCATTTTGTACATAATCAGTCAATAATTGTGTATGGTTTACAATTAATTATTTGAGCACGTTAACAATGCAATCAGCTATCAAAGTACATAAACATCACATGTAGATTCGTTACACACGACACATACTACATTGATCACGAACCATATTCCAATGTACACAACAATAGTTCAGTACTCTACACATCAACCCAGTGGGCGTTCACACAATCTACATTCTATAACAGTCCAAAACAGCATCGTGTTCATAACGAAACACAATAGTTAAGATACCCGACACATTCCATACATTCTATAATAGTCACAAAACAGTGTAGTGTTAATCAGTATTAAATAAACAATCCTACAGGTATACAAAATATATGAGACATATGATAAAGGATGCCTCGTTCCACATCAACCTGAAGGAAGTGACAAGATTCGTAATATAGAGTTATGATATTTACAATAGATTGAAGTTAAGAAAGAATAGCAATGGTAAAGATTTATCGAACTAGAAGAAAGTAAAGTTACACCTTCGTGAATTTACTAGACAGCCACCCCCTGATTTGTGACTATCATCCGTATTATACCTATTCTAGCTATCGCAGATATTCGCGTTTACAGATGAAACTTACGATAACGTTGTTATTGTGAACTTGAGATTATGTCATTTAGATTATATGGTCCATGCACGAAGGTATATGTGGCACGCACGTGATTTGACTTACGACGACAAACTGTCGTAAAGACAGATAAATGTATCGCACCTTGGTTCTATTAGCTTAAGAGATGCTGGTCCCGGATTTTGTCCGATGCAAGTTATCAATGTGACCCTTGACAGGTTTAAGATTGAGGAACCTGATCCATGTGACCTTTTTGTTGTTGTTGTTGTTGTTTTTTTATATATTTTCTTGTTTTGTTTTGCTATGTTTTGTTTTAGTTTATTTGGGGTGGGTTTTTTTTGGGGGGGTGGGGTTTGTTTTGTTTTTTTGTTGTTGGGTTGTTTTTACTCAAGCATGTGTTAATAAACCTTTGGGCATTCTGCAGCAAACGCTGACAACCTACAACTTTTCCGGATTCGCCTCCTCATAACTATGCAAGAAGAGAAAACCGAAATACTGGCGATAAGCCAACCACGTTCATCCATACATGTTGAGATATGTATCATGTACAGTGATGATAGCGAGATCCCACTAACTCGGATTATGAACTGCTCGGCGCGACATAGTATGTGACCTCATGGTGTGGAAAGCAGATGTTACTTGTTAGTCGATCAGTAGGTGACACAGTTTGCATCACACCGACAAGTTTTTACCCGGCAAGTCACTTGCCTGTGTTGACAACACCAGCAAAAGGGAAATACCTTTCACTGAAGGCAACTTTAGACTTAGAGGCTAGGAAATCGTCCAACTCGGATAAGTATGTCGGCTAGGTCGTTCTGCTGCAAGCTGTTCGGTGGCAACCACATACAGCAGGTGAGTTGACATAGTTGTGTGAGATTGATTGTTAAAACGACTGAGGTCAAAACCTAAGCGTTAAGGTTGCCGCATGTTGGGGCCAGGGAGTTGTAATCACCTCGCCATGAGTGGAGGCACTGGACAGGACCCGCAGTTTTGTTTGGAGACGGGTTTATAGGGGTTGATAGATTATATGCTCGGCGCGTGGGAGCGGGTAGACTGACGCTTAGTTTCTAAATATATATATATTTTGTATATGCTAATAATGATATTTAAACAGAAAGGGATCACTGTGAGTGGAAGATTCGGAACCTGGGGAATATCTAGATTTGCTTCATTTAAGGCTTTAGCATTGCAGAAAGGGTTGCGCGGAATGGTACGTAGTGCGGTTCAGGGCCTGTGGGATGGGAGGTTAGCGTTGTCTCACTACTATCGATAAAAACAGCCAAGCAAACAAATCAGATTCCATGCCAAGGCAAGATAATGTGCTCACGATAGTATACATAACATTCATCTTTTCAGATCAGGGCCCCGTTCTTCAAAGCGATCGTAGCGCTAAGATGATAACTCCCATACTTTCACATTGACTTACGACAGTGGTAGTGCTATGATGATCGTAACTCCCATACTTTAACATAGACTTACGACTGTCGTAGTGCTAAGATGATCGTAACTCCCATACTTTAACATAGACTTACGACTGTCGTAGCGCTAAGATGATCGTAACTCCCATACTTTAACATAGACTTACGACTGTCGTAGCGCTAAGATGATCGTAACTCCCATACTTTAACATAGACTTACGACTGTCGTAGTGCTAAGATGATCGAAACTCCCAAACTTTAACATAGACTTACAACTGTCGTAGTGCTAAGATGATCGTAACTCCCATACTTTAACATTGACTTACGACTGTCGTAACGCTAAGATGATCGTAACTCCCATACTTTAACATAGACTTACGACTGTCGTAGCGCTAAGATGATCGTAACTCCCATACTTTAACATAGACTTACGACTGTCGTAGCACTAAGATGATCGTAACTCCCATACTTTAACATAGACTTACGACTGTCATAGCACTAAGATGATCGTAACTCCCATACTTTTACATAGACTAACGACTGTCATAGCACTAAGATGATCGTAACTCCCATACTTTAACATAGACTAACGACTGGCATAGCACTAAGATGATCGTAACTCCCATACTTTAACATAGACTTACGACTGTCATAGCACTAAGATGATCGTAACTCCCATACTTTGACATGGTCTTACGACTGTCATAGCACTAAGATGATCGTAACTCCCATACTTTAACATAGACTTACGACTGTCATAGCACTAAGATGATCGAGCGAACACTTTAACCACTAAGCTACCCCAGTCAGTAAGAGGCGAGATGAACTGCACCAGTCAGACTGTAACAAGCAAGAACATACATATCAGGCACCTGAAAAAAAACGCAACTGACTAGGAAAAGAATCCGAACACGTTCGTCGCCGCGAAGAGTTTCAGAATTGCTGGTGCGGCGTTAGACAATACTCACTCGGACACTAACTCACTCACTCCGCGACTTTCACTGCGGCGTCACAATCTCGAAAGTAGTCACGCAATTCCGTATGACACGGGGTACACAGAAGGGAGTTCCCTCGACTGTAAAAGGGATTTTAGTAGTGAAAGTAGTCCGCTTTGATATGGTTGGCTTAATGCTGAAGACCAGTTCTAACCAGTTATTTACGGGTACTGTGCAGGATTGATTTAATATTACAGGAATTATTAACTTTATGAATCCATTACTATACTATCAAACCCTGTACTCTTGTGGTATTAGATTTTACTCACCCCTTTCATTGTTCATTGACTTTTTACCTCACTTTCACACAATCTATTAGATTTCAGTATGTTCGAAGATTCTGACAAGGCAGAAATTCCATACCTCTACCGCCAGCGGAAAACCAGCAACATCGCCATTAACCGGCATCAGCGGCCCCAGCAGGTCCAAAAAAGCTATCTGTTGGCGTTATTGGAGCAGGGAGGATTGCAACGTCTGTGCATCTGCGCAACATTCTGCAACATCTTCGTCTGGACCTGAAGTGGATCATTGAAAATGACGTGGTCAGGCAACGCTTTGTCCGAGAAGAACTCATGTTGGGGGACGAGTTCCCTTTCTTCACATCGAGCGACAGATTCAAGCTGCTTGATGACAAGAGGTAAAATAGCCGAGATGTCATGTTGTGTAATGTCACGTCCAGTCTTCACGTCAGGTACCAGCGCTACACTATGCTATGCTAGAGGTAACAAGACAGACGTCTGGAACCTGAAAATTTGGCACAATGCTTAAATACGTACACCCCCGGTGTATGTGTTTGTTTGTTTGTTTATTTGTTTGTTTGTTTATTTGTTTGTTTTTTGCTTGAATATTTTGTAATATTCAAGCTATAAATGACTGCACATAGTCCCAGAGCAGACCAGGTGGTGAGGTATCGTAGTATGACAATAATGAACCAAGTCAATGAGTTAAAGCATGAGTGAGTGAGTTTAGTTTTACGCCGCATTTAGCAATATTCCAGCAATATATCGGCGGGGGCTACCAGAAATGGGTTTCACACATTGTACCCATGTGGGGAATCGATCTCGGATCTTCGACGTGACGTGGACGCTTTAACCACCAGCCTACCCCACCGCCCCAGTTAAAGAATGACCGCCAGATTCATTCAGTAACCGTACGTTGCCAGTTTCCAATTCTAATTCCAAATCCCTAAAGGGTTTTCCTACAAATGCACTGGGGTTACAAAACCCCAATAACTGCATCACTTACAATAAGAGTCAATGGATATTTCTTTTAACAAACAGCCACAAGGGCAAGTAACTCCCTTGGTCCAGTAGCTCTTACTCTGTAGTTTCCAACACAGAAGTACCCCTGCTATGCAGATGACATCCCAATGTTTAATGATATCACAGAAGTACATGTACAATGTCAAACGTTCCACGTCAAACCACTGTGTCAATATCAGGATACCCATTGTATACTTCAGCCTTAAGCGATGCATTTGAAGCTGCTGCAAGTTGGAAATATTTCCGCTTCAGCGACCCAGTCACTGGTATGGAACTCGGTTACAGTGAGAGTGGAGTCTTTGTGATTTTTTGCGGCAAAACATTTATGATGTGTGACAGAGCCTTTGTGATTTTAGCAACTGCAAGGCGAGGGTATGGTGCAATAAATGTCCTGTAGACGTCCAAAATCAACTTTATAAGGGAATTAATTTCACGTTTACCTCAATGCTATGTTCCTTTCGGAACGAATATAGTTATATTACTTTGAAAAGCCTTGAGTCAGGTAAAGTCATACTTTTTTTCATAATGAATTGATATATTTATAAAAATGATTCAATAAATTATTGATTCAATAAATTATTGCAGCATACAAATGCACTGGGGTCAGCATTCTGATTGGGTTTGTCTCCCACTATAGAGAAGCATGTGCTATTTATCAGCGAAAACACTGAATTGGTCTAATGTGACAGAAAAGTTGTGATTATGAAATTGTAACTGAAAATTCATTCATGGTCACAGATTATTCACAATCACAAAATGGAATTGACGGGACACAATTTGTAAAATTTTGTTCATGAATCGGAATTGGATGTTTCTATTAATGTATTTGTGGTGTCTAAAGAGCATTTTAGTGAAATTGATGTTGAAAACATGACATATAGGCCAGTGGAAAAGGTCGAAAACCCGGACATTTTACCTAACAACCAAATTTTATGTGGATTTATTACGTCATACTATAGGTAACTCCTGGTCAAAACCCAGACAAAATCAGACATGGGGAAACTTTTTTATGAGCCTTCAAACATAGCTCATCCAGTATAGATCAATATGAGGAATTTGACGGTTTTCGTCCAAACAAATGAATACAGTATGCAGTTTCTGATAAACCACTGATAACAATTACCTTCATATTTGGTAACCATAAGTGTATAGTTAATTCAGAGATGTCAATATACCAGTGTGACCTTGACCCAAGTTTCAAGGTCGCACCAGGCAAAATACCGTGATTACATGAGTTGAGAAAATGGCACTGGGGTTTAACTTTTATGGTATATTGACATAAATTGCTCATGTCATTTTGTTTATGCTAAACATGAGATGAAACGGATTCCATTCTAATAATAGGAAGTCACTCACATTTCAAGGTCACACGTATCATGTCATATCATACCATCTTAATGAGTATCATCGTCACCAAAGATCCATTGCCACATGCACCTTCACATTTGCAATGGATACTGCATGAAAGCCCCCTTTTCACACAACTGCATGACCGACAGAGTTTATTTAGGGATTTACAGCAGCATCTGACCTCCTTCAATAGATATGCAGGGGCAGGGGCCCGATCCGTGATAACAGGAATAACATGCCCATTGTCACACTTGAATCCATACTGTGATTTGTCAAGTACTGTTGCTAGGTTCTTCCATGTGCTGACTTGTAGATGCACTCTAAAGTAACACTCTGTGAATGGAAAAAGGCAGCACTGATTGTGGGTGGCATCCTTTCAATACTGATATATCTTGATGACTTTATGTTCATGAAACGCAGTTCATCAAGTTTCAGGCCGTTCCTGCCACTGTACAGTCCAGTCGTTGTTAATATTTTGTTCTTTGTGGGTTGTTAATCATGATGTTTTACTCATATTTATTATCAAAATTACTTTCATGGCAAATTATGATAACAATGATAGCGATGCTATTGCTAGATTTATTAAAGTAAATTATAAAGTTGCAAGATGATATTATGTGTTGTTAAGGAAAATTATAGTCTTTAATACCACAACCTAAAGCTAATATTACTATTATATCTACCACGTATCATTGCAGGATAACTGTGACGTATCATTGCAAAGACTCTGTCACAAATCATAAAGTTTCTGTCGCAAAAATCACAAAGACTCCACTGTCACTGTAACCAAGTTCCCTACCAGTGCCAGTACTGGAATACTCGTTATAGCTGAAGTAATACATGTATTGCCTGAATATTGTCACCATAGACAAATTATAATGTGCTGCATCTATTGACTGGCCAATGGTAAAATTAATTGAGGTTATAATGGTACTTCATTATTTCATAACTTCCTTCTGGGTACGGGAAAGTCGGGGTGCTAAATTAAATTAAATTGTGTATTTCTTAATTTTTAACTCATTTAAGATCAGATTTTGAACAGGTCAGGCATTCAGCAATAGTTTTGTTAACACCTCACAATGTCATCATGTTATTCTATTAAAATCATCTCTGTTGAGTATTATTTATCAATTGTAAGTTTAGATTAAGATCTTCAGAGGGTCGATTCTGCTCCAGATATCACATACATAACATCATATGGAAAGTGGTAGATGAAATAATGATTCTTGAGATTATAAAAAAATATTATTACCCTTAAGATAAATTTGTCGAATTCTGATTGCTCAATAGCCAAATCATACCGAACCATGTTGGAGGATTTGCCAGGGTGTACGAATCGTACACCCCGTCAAATCTGTCATGTGACACTCTACACGGGTTGTACGAATGACCTTGACCTTCGATGGAATGTGACTACCAAACGGCTGATCGCTTCGAAATTTCAGAGTTGGCGTATACAATGACGAGTATAAACAGAGTAATGAAATTGTTGCCATAAATTCTTCTTTGTTTGTGTCAATAAATATATCAAACAAAATAAACGTTTCTGTATTTCACTTGTCGTTTATACAGTCCCGTTGACCCTTTCAAAACACCCTGTAACAAATAATGTTTCTCGAGACCATAATACCATTCTCGTAATTACTGGGGGTAAACTTTTTGATTACCTACAAAGGGCGAAAATATCGGGGTTCATCTTTTTCATACGATGCCCTCGGGCAAAATATCACTTTGTCATGGTGACGTGATGTCATGAATAATGCTATGAAGTCACGTTTCTTCTATGATGTTGCGTTCTACAAGCGGTAACAAGGGTAGCCAGCCCGATGTTTGAAAGTAGATTTGGGTATATTTTGCTCAATTTGACGACTTCGGTAATAAATAGAACATTATATTCGTGCCCATATCATACTATGTTTACGACACTCTTGCCTATATATTTTGTTTTGTTGTTTTGGGTTTTGTTTTTGTTTTTTTGGTTGTTTTCTTCCCAAATATCGGTATATCCCTCGCTCTCACTCTGGAAATACCAACATTTAGGCATTCGTGTCGTAAACATAGTATGACATAGGCACTCATATAATCATCCTCGATAATCCCCAGGGTATACGTTACGATCACTCTCCACTATACCCTGGATGCATCCACGGCTTGGCCCGATTATTTTATTACCTCTCTTGGCTGGCTTTTTATCCAATCAGTTGTCTACGCTGGGAAGTTGAGCGAACCAATCACAACTCACTTTCGCTTCTTAAATTATCTAACCGTTTAAACTTGGCAACACATTTGATGCAGAGGTACTCTGAAAGAGGTAGAAGGAATTCTTTTATATAATTTTGGAAAGTGTCAGATCTGTCAATTTGTCTGTATTACTTTCCCCAAAACTCTGAGTGGCACTGCGAACAAACCTTCGAGACTGCGACCGCTATCTTTGTTGACACTGGCAAGCTCGGATGTAACGGCGGCTTATCTGATTGGCTACTGTGAGAATGCGGAGCCAGCAAAGGAAGGTAATATAATCATCGGGCCAAGCCGTGGATGCATCCAGGGTTTAGTGGAGAGTGATCGTAACGTATACCCTGGAGATTATCGAGGATGTCATATAATATCCTGTATATAGACTTGTTCTGAGCCTAACTACCAGCTACATTACTACAGGTAAAGCACTAACCCTCGGAATGACCTTATCGATTGTTTGGTTTCAGCTTGGACGCAGTGTTTGTGCTGACACCTGTAGAAACACACACAGAGTATGCCTGTGATGCCTTACAGAGAGGTTAGATATCACTGTTTGTTTATTTGTTTGCATGTATGTGTGTATGTGTTTGTTTGTTTAACGCCACGCCCAGGAGTTTTACAGCAATGCGACGGCGATTTGTAAATAATCGAGTCTGGACCAGACAGTCCAGTGATTGATATTATGAGCATCGATCTACACAATTGGTATATGATGATACGATGATATGTGTCAACCAGGTTAGCGACCACCCGATCCCGTTAGTCACTTCTTACGACAAGCATGGGTTCCGAAGATCAATTCTAACCCGGATCTTCACGGGTGATGTAACTGTTTCCTTACCATGTCAATGTTAAGCATGTTGGTATTTTCGATTTTCAACTGACTGACTGACTGAGTTTAGTTTTACGCCGCTTTTAGCAATATTCCAGCAATATCACGGCGGGGGACACCAGAAATGGGCTTAACACATTGTGCCCATGTGGGGAATCGAACCCGGGCCTTCGGCGTGACGAGCCAACGCTTAAACCACTAGGCTACCCCACCGCCCCTTCGATTTTCAAACCGTCTCCAGTAATTTGTCTATTTTAATCTGGCATTCATTACATGCCTGTCTGTCGATGTCAGATGCAGTAGATAACTTTTCACATATAAAAAAGCTGTGTACACTGTTAATTTGATGCAAGCAAGTGGAGAAAACAGTTTTGTGGTCACCTGTATCCAAAGACAACATTACTGTAATTCTTAATAACATAACTGGGTATCATTGGCGCCCTTGCATTGTCATCTTGAACACAAAACAATGTCCATAATGAAGAAGATCTCTGGATTCATTGTATTTTATGATTATAATTTAGGAACCGTTTCTGTTTTCATTTCACAGACTCGATGTTAGTCTACAGTGATCCTAACCCACGCCATTACTGAGCCACCCCAAAATCGATCGTTCTGTTAACGACAGGTTCTCTCTGTGTAACCTATTACGAATTCACTGACTCTAACACCTGTAGCTCTGTGAAGGCCATCTATCTAACTACTGTAACCTGAGTTACATGCAACATGGCTCTGCTGTAGGGTGAATGGTTATATTTTGTATTTGGTTCAAGGGAAGCCCGTGTTTGTTGAGAAGCCGCCAGGTGTCAACTACACTGATGTAAAGCATGGCTACGAGACCGCCGAGAAATTCCAGACACCCCTCCTGACAGGCTTTATGAGGTACACCTCCCTCTCACTCAATACCAGACACTTTTGTTCCTTACTCACTTCACGACGTACACCCCCCTCTCACTCAATACCAGATACTTTTGTTCCTTACTCACTTCACAAGGTACACCTCCCTCTCACTCAATACCAGATACTTTTGTTCCTTACTCACTTCACAAGGTACACCTCCCTCTCACTCAATACCAGATACTTTTGTTCCTTGCTCACTTCACGAGGTACACCTCCTCCTCACTCAATACCAGATACTTTTGTTCCTTACTCACTTCACGAGGTACACCTCCTCTCACTCAATACCAGACACTTTTGTTCCTTACTCACTTCACGATGTACACCCCCTCTCACTCAATACCAGACACTTTTGTTCTTTACTCACTTCACGAGGTACACCTCCCTCTCACTCAATACCAGACACACTTTTGTTCCTTACTCACTTCACGATGAACACCTACACCTCCTTCACGAGGTACCCTCCTCTCATACCAGACACTTTTGTTCCTTACTCACTTCACGAGGTACACCTCCCTCCTCTCACTCAATACCAGACACTTTTGTTCCTTACTCACTTCACGAGGTACACCTCCCTCTCACTCACCAGTACCAGATATTTTGTTCCTTGCTCACTTCACAAGGTACACCTCCCTCTCTCACTCAATACCAGACACATTAGTTCCTTACTCCCTTCACGATGTACACCTCCCTCTCACTCAATACCAGACACATTAGTTCCTTACTCCCTTAACGATGTACACCCCCCTCTCACCTCAATATCAGATACATTTGTTCCTTACTCACATCACGATGTACACCTCCCTCTCACTCAATACCAGACACATTTGTTCCTTACTCACTTCACTAGGTACACCTCCTGTCTCACTCAATACCAGATACATTTGTTCCTCACTCACTTCACGAGGTACACCTCCCTCTCACTCAATACCAGACACATTTGTTCCTTACTCACTTCACGAGGTACACCTCCCTCTCACTCAATACCAGATACTTTTGTTCCTTACTCACTTCACGAGGTACACCTCCCTCTCACTCAATACCAGATACATTTGTTCCTTACTCACATCACGAGGTACACCCCCTCTCACTCAGTACCAGATACATTTGTTCCTTACTCACATCACGATGTACACCCTCTCCTCACTCAATACCAGATACATTTGTTCCTTACTCACATCACGAGGTACACCCCCTCTCACTCAGTACCAGATACATTTGTTCCTTACTCACTTCACGATGTACACCTCCCTCTCACTCAATACCAGATACTTTTGTTCCTTACTCACATCAAGATGTACACCCCCTCCTCACTCAATACCAGATACATTTGTTCCTTACTCACATCACGAGGTACACCCCCCTCACTCAGTCAATACCAGATACATTTGTTCCTTACTCACATCACGAGGTACACCTCCTCCTCACCAATACCAGATACATTTGTTCCTTACTCACATCACGAGGTACACCTCTCTCACCAGTACCAGATACATTTGTTCCTTACTCACATCACGATGTACACCCCCTCCCACTCAATACCAGATACATTTGTTCCTTACTCACATCACGATGTACACCCCCTCCTCACTCAATACCAGATACTTTTGTTCCTTACACACTTCCACGAGGTACACCTCCTTCTCACTCAGTACCAGATACTTTTGTTCCTTACACACATCACGAGGTACACCTCCCTCACTCAATACCAGATACTTTTGTTCCTTACACACATCACGAGGTACACCTCCTTCCTCACTCAGTACTAGATACTTTGTTCCTTGCTGACTTCACGAGGTACACCTCCCTCTCACTCAATACCAGACACATTAGTTCCTTACTCCCCAACGATGTACACCCCCTCTCACCTCAATACCAGACACTTCTGTTCCTTATTCACTCTCTACGAGGTACACCTCCTTCCTCACTCAATACCAGATACTTTTGTTCCTTACTCACTTTCACGAAATACACCCCCTCCTCACTCAATACCAGATACTTTTGTTCCTTACTCACTTCCACGAGGTACACCTCCCTCCTCACTCAATACCAGATACTTTTGTTCCTTACTCACTCTCACGAGGTACACCTCCCCTTCTCACTCAGTACTCAGATATTTTGTTCCTTGCTCACTCACAAGGTACACCCTCCTCACTCAATACCAGACACATTAGTTCCTTACTCCCTAACGATGTACACCCCTCCCACTCACAATACCAGACACATTTGTTCCCACTCACATCACTAGGTACACCTCCCTCCTCACTCAATACCAGATACTTTTTGTTCCTTACTCACTTCACGAGGTACACCTCCTTCCTCACTCACAGTACTAGATATTTTGTTCCTTGCTGACTTCACAAGGTACACCCCTCTCACTCAATACCAGACACATTAGTTCCTACTCCCCCAACGATGTACACCCCCTCTCACTCAATATCAGATACATTTGTTCCTTACTCACATCACGATGTACACCCCCTGTCTCACCCAATACCAGATACATTTGTTCCTTACTCACATCACTAGGTACACCTCCCTCCTCACTCAATACCAGACACATTTGTTCCTCACTCACTTCACGAGGTACACCCCCCTCCTCACTCAATACCAGATACATTTGTTCCTTACTCACATCACGAGGTACACCTCCCTCTCACTCAATACCAGATACATTTTGTTCCTACTCACATCACGAGGTACACCCCCTCCTCACTCAGTACCAGATACATTTGTTCCTTACTCACATCACGATGTACACCTCCCTCCTCACTCAATACCAGATACATTTGTTCCCTTACTCACATCACTAGGTACACCCCATTCCTCACCAATACACTGATACATTTGTTCCTTACTCACATCACGAGGTACACCCCTCCCTCCCCACCTCAATGCCAGATACATTTGTTCCCTTACTCACTTCACGAGGTACACCTCCCTCCTCACTCAATACCAGATACTTTTGTTCCCACTCACTTCACGAGGTACACCTCCTCCCTCACTCAGTACTAGATACTTTGTTCCTTGCTGACTTCACAAGGTACACCTCCTCTCACTCAATACCAGACACATTAGTTCCTTACTCCCCTAACGATGTACACCCCCTCCTCACTCAATACCAGACACATTAGTTCCTTACTCCCCTAACGATGTACACCTCCCTCCTCACCAATACCAGATACATTTGTTCCTTTACACACATCACGATGTACACCCTCTCTCACTCAATACCAGATACATTTGTTCCCTACTCACATCACTAGGTACACCTCCCTCTCACTCAATACCAGACACATTAGTTCCTACTCACATCACGAGGTACACCCTCCTCACTCAATACCAGATACATTTGTTCCTTACTCACATCACGAGGTACACCCCCCTCACACTCAATACCAGGTACATTTGTTCCCTACTCACATCACGAGGTACACCCCCGTCTCACTCAATACCAGACACTTTTGTTCCTTACTCACTCCACGAGGCACACCTCTCCTCCTCACTCAATACCAGACACTTTTGTTCCTACTCACATCACGAGGTACACCCCCGTCCCACTCAATACCAGACACCTCTTTGTTCCTTACTCACTTCACGAGGCACGGCTTCCCTCCTCACCAATACTCAGACACATTTGTTCCTTACTCACTCTCACGAGGTACACCTCCCTCTCACTCAATACAGACACATTAGTTCCTTACTCCCCTAACGATGTACACCCCCTCTCACTCAATACCAGACACTTTTGTTCCCTTGCTCACTCACAAAGGTACACCTCCCTCTCACTCAATACCAGACACATTAGTTCCTTACTCCCCTAACGATGTACACCCCCTCCCACTCAATACAAGATACTTTTTGTTCTTTGCTCACTTCACAAGGTACACCTCCCTCCTCACCTCAATACCAGACACATTAGTTCCTTACTCCCCTAACGATGTTCACCTCCCTCCTCACTCAATACCAGACACATTAGTTCCTTTTACTCCCCTAACGATGTACACCTCCCTCCCTCACCCAATACCAGATACATCTGTTCCTACTCACTTCACAAGGTACACCTCCCTCCTCACTCAATACCAGATACTTTGTTCCTTACTCACTCTCACGAGGTACAACCCCTCTCACTCAATACCAGACACATTAGTTCTTTACTCCCTAACGATGTACACCCCCTCCTCTCACTCAATACCAGATGCATTTGTTCCTTTACTCACTCACACAAGGTGCACCTCCCTCTCACTGAATACCAGACACTTTGTTCCTTACTCACATCACGAGGTACACCTCCCTCCTCACTCAATACCAGACACATTGTTTCCTTACTCCCCTAACGATGTACACCTCCCTCCTCACTCAATACCAGACACTTTGTTCATTGCTTACTTCAACGAGGCAAACCCCTCCTCCTCACTCAATACTAGATACATTTGTTCCCCTACTCACATCACGAGGTACACCTCCCTCTCACTCAATACCAGATACATTTGTTCCTTACTCACATCACGAGGTACACCCCCCTCCTCACTCAGTACCAGATACATTTGTTCCTTACTCACATCACGATGTACACCCCCCTCCTCACTCAATACCAGATACATTTGTTCCTTACTCACATCACTAGGTACACCTCCCTCTCACTCAATACCAGATACATTTGTTCCTACTCACATCACGAGGTACACCTCCCTCCTCACTCAATGCCAGATACATTTGTTCCTTACTCACTTCCACGAGGTACACCTCCCTCCCTCACTCAATACCAGATACTTTTGTTCCTTACTCACTTCACGAGGTACACCTCCTTCTCACTCAGTACTAGATACTTTTGTTCCTTGCTGACTCTCACAAGGTACACCTCCCTCCTCACTCAATACCAGACACATTAGTTCCTTACTCCCCTAACGATGTACACCCCCTCCCTCACTCAATACCAGACACATTAGTTCCTTACTCCCCTAACGCTGTACCCCCTCCCTCTC